AGGATGAGCCTGCCCCCCCCCTGAGGAATTCACGGTGTTGTGGCTGGCTGGCTTGGGAGCTAGGTTTCAGTCTGGGGAGACTGATGTCAGGTTTAGCCCAAAGAACTTCAAGAGACAATGCAAATTCAGTTCTGCTGTGTTTATTAGCAACAACCTCTAGACAGAACTCTCCCCAGACTGAACCCTAGCTCCCACGCCAGCCGGCCACAACACTGTGAATTCCTCAGGGAAGTGCCAGCCTCATCTTCTTGAACTTCCCACGCTCCTCCGGTGAACTAAGAACATGCTTATCTCCCTGAGCCTGGCCTTCATAAGTCCATTCCATCACATCTGCATCTTTTCCGAGTTATGAATTGGGACTTTCTACAAAACCAATTTTCTCTGGATCTTGAAGACCTATGAATTATTAAACAGTGTTCTGGAAGCCCAAAAATGAAACTATCATTAATAACCAAAATACCATTTATTAAATAATATTTGAGGCTACTGGCATTCAATGGAATCAACTAATCATTTGGAGTTCAAAAATTACAATTAGCAGTTTATCATTTAATACAAAAATATAAAGCAACTAACAGTTTATGGGAAATTTAATACGTCTGGTGCAAAGATGAAGAGCAAGTTGTTATGAAAATCTGTGTAAAGAAAATAAGGCTAAATAGGTAAATGGTCTACAAGTGAATTCAAAAATCTCAGGCTACAATGGTCCATTTCCTAGACTGATTGTAGGACAAATAGGACAATATGTTGATAAAGCAAATTTAAGAGAAAGTAGAGGAAGAGGGGTTGCAGGAGTTGAGCTTGTGGGGAAAACCTAAGAAAAAGATACACAAATAATTTTCTTAGATTTGGATCTAAGATAACTTCTTTCCTTTTTCCTTTTCTGCCTTCATCTAGTGGGTAGTATGTAATAGAATATGGGTTACCTTCATTTGAAAAGAAGAGAAGAGAAGAGAAATAGGAAGAAGAAGATTTGCTCTATTGTGCAGGAAATATTCTTTTCCATTCTGACTCATTGGATGGTTAAGGGCCATTTGGTCACTTTTCTTGGAAAATTTAGCAAATTTAAATAAATGTCAGAAAGAAATGCTCCTTCCTATTTTTCTCCACCACAAGTAACCTTGCAAGAAATCCTTGCAAGCAAAGAGAAAATAAGAACCCAGAAGATTTTTATGAGTGTCTAGTTGGTATCATTACAAAATATTTGGGCACCCCAGATCCTATTGGCACTATGCCAATGGCAGTCACCAGTACCTTTGTTAATGGACTCCTCCTGGAGATAGGGAAGCAGGTTTGAACAACGGTTGTTGACTGCAGGCCTTAGTTTTTGATAGGGGATTTAGGGTAACAGAAGTGGAAGGACTGCATTAGTTTAGTAATGATCCTATTCTATTTCAATTGTTTCTTAATTGCAGCATCACACTAAGACCCAAATTGCATATCCTTCCATGCAGCATCACAGCAAACACAACAGGGCCACATGCAAGTCCATCAACTTGAATCTTCACCCATGGAAACAACTTATCGGTACTGGTTTGTGGTAGCTGACCCTTGCTGATCTTGAAAAGCTAAGCCCCATCAGGCTTTGGCTGGAACTCCCATGAGGACTACCAGGAGACACCAGGGCTTAGCCTAGACGGGGAAGCATAGAAGACAACCTGAAAGAAAGAAGTGGCAAATCACTTCTACCTTATTGCCATAAAACCCCCACACTTCCATAGATGTGTCCATGAAGTCCCCAGGAATCAAGCTTGAAACTGAAAAAGATTGAAGGGGACTATATTTTCCCTGATGGGTATGCTTAAACTGGAGACCAGGACAGAATTACATGATTGACAGGCACAGTACCAGAAATCAGGATACATAAAAAATGGGGGGGGGGAGGGGTAGAGTTACAAGTCCTCTTTATAGATTTATGTAAGTCATCACTGTCATTTGATAAGTTTCAATAAAATTAATTAAAGCAATGTGATTTGTCATTATAATCTATCCATTGATAAGTTTAATTTTACTAACTGGATAAATCCATATACTTATTAAATAAGTGGAAAAGAGATAGACACATGAGCTCACACTTCCCCTACACAATATAGCCTTAAATCTAAAGAAAGGGGTTGAGAACTATAGCTAAATTGTTATTTCAAACTTAACTGCTATCAAGAACAATCTTGGTTCCCAGCACCTATTAATTATTAATGGTTGTCAGGCATTTACTGTAATTGAAAGTGGCTGGCTTACATTTTGGGGGTTAACACTTTCACTTGCTTGTGTCTTGTACTTCAACCTCATCTGAGAATTCCAGGCACCTAACTGCTTTTAGATGAATTTGCAAATACGTATGGGCTAGGGTCTAAATTGATCCATTCCGATTCCACTCCTACAAGACTATTTTTAGAGGGTGCCAGAAAACATTGCAAGTTCAGAAGGAGAAAAAGAAGAAGAAAAGCGGTTAAAATCAAATTAAAACCAGTGCTTGGAAAAGCAACAAAGAGTCATAGGAAATAAATATTTATTAATTTATTATGGCATAAACGTTTGTGGAGTGCCGTGTTTATCAGATACATGAAGTTTTCTGACCCTGTCATATGGAACAGAATCCAGCAGTGGGCACTTTAGCTGGCCATTTGGTAGAACTAATTTGGTAGAACTAACTTCTTTGATGGGGAAATAAAATTCTTTGCGAGGTGCCTGATTCACGACAGTTTTAGGGAGGGCTGAAGGTGGCAAGATCAGGAACAAACAGCTGGAGAATGTCAACAAAACATGATGCAGATACCCTCTCCATTCAAAGCTGAGAAACAAGAGAAATCTGTTGCCATGTGAAGGCAGGTAAAACAGACCTCAAATTTAAAGCCTGCTTATATGGAACTGCTGCCAGATTGCTGGATTCTGCAGTAGCTGATTGCCTTCATTTTAGCTGAAATAATAAAAGCAGAAGCTTTTATTGAAGCTTCAAATAAAAGCAACTTCTCTGTCCAAGTGTTGTTGGAATCTTTAGTTCTATCTCTTGAGCACAAGTCTGAATTCCTAAAGAGAAATATTCTTGTGCCCTGGGTGAAGGTCTGAGAGTTTTAATATAATCTGACTCCCTGAATTATTCTAAATATGATACAAAAAAGAAAGGAAATGTACAAGAGTTTGTACAGAAGAAGGTATCCTAGCAACAAAGAATGAGCATTTGTTAAAAGTATTGGTTTTGGTCTGCTAAATAAAGTTATGACCTTCATTAGCCATTGACCTTCATTATTGACCTTCATTATTCTTGATCTTCATTATTCTTCGGAGAGCTTTCTGTACCTCTTTGTTCCTTAAAGTATAGATCAGTGGATTAAGCATGGTGGTGACAAACGTATAGAAAAGGGAAATCATCTTGCCTCGATCACGGGAGTAGTTGGACGGAGGCTGGAGATAACTGAAGATGGCTGTGCCATAGAAGAGGGACACCACCATCAAGTGGGAGGCACAAGTGTTGAAGGACTTCTGCCTGCCTTCAGCTGAGTGGATCCTCAGCACAGAAGCTGCAATGTAGCCATATGAGATTATGATGAGACCCAGTGGTATTACAAGGAAAATTACACTCGAGACAAAGAGTACAGCTTCATTGAGAGTGGTGTCAACACAGGCCAATTTCAGCAAGGCTGGCACTTCACAGAAAAAATGGTCTACCTGATTCTGTCCACACCGTGGGAGTCTTACAGTCATTACTGTCTCTATTACTGAAGTACTAAAACCACTCATCCAGGAGACAGCAGCCATTGTGAAGCAAAGAGATTGGTTCATCAAGACAGCATAGGGCAGTGGATGACAGACTGCAGCATAGCGGTCGTAGGCCATGACAGCCAACAAAATGCACTCTGTAGAGCCCAAAGCAAAAGAGATGTACAGCTCAACCACGCAGGCACCATAAGTGATGGTCTTGCTCTTTCTCCAGAAGTTCACCAGCATCTGGGGCCCAAGGCTGGTGGTGAAGCAGAGGTCAAGGAAGGAAAGGTTGCTGAGGAAGAAATACATGGGGGTGTGGAGATGGGGATCTAATCTTGACACCACAATGATGGTTGTGTTGCCTAGGAGGGTCATCAAGTAGCAGGCCAGGACAAAGACAAAGAGGAACATCTCCAAGCGTGGCCGGTCAGCCACTCCCAATAAGATGAATTCCCCTTGGTAGCTTTGATTAATTTCTTTCCATGATGCATTTCTATAGAACATCTGTTTAAAAAACAAAGCAAAACAGTGCACATGAAAATAAATAGATCACCAACACAAAATGGAAGGCTATATTAAGAAGTGACATAGAAAGAATTGTGGCTTGACTGAGCAGCAGATTCAGCTTGTGACCTAAATCTAGGACTCAGAAATATAGTTAATCTTGCTCTAGCTAACTGACTATACTTTTTAGCACTTGGATCCTCAGAGAATGGCTATGTGAGAGGAGAATATAGTAAAATGTCTTCGATACTCGAATATTTGGACAGAATTCCCTGTACAGTTTTGAAGAAAATACGTTTCTGCTTACAGGTCTTTCTACCTTGCCCAAGAAGTACCATGGGACTGTGATGAGTCAAATCCACAGGATAGTCACAGAACGAAGTTGAAACACCAACAAAAACCTCACTTCTGCTCGGATGTTAAGACCTATCACAGTCACTCCTGCTTCTGTGAAGACATAGTTTGATTTAGAGTGCCATTAATAATGTCATAAAGAAATGATCAAGCTTTTGATTAAGTCAACCACCTGCTGATTTCTTTATGGCATTATTTCTTTTAGGACATTAAGAAACATGTCCTCCCACCTTATTTCAATCTTCTCACTGAAAAGCCACCATTCATTTGAATTTCCCCATAACTTCTTCTCCATCTGTCCTTTTACACTTCTTTCTTTACATGTTTCCAGCCTTTTATTCTTTGAAGATCATCTTGCTTCCTCTTGCAAATTCTGTCTCCCCCTCTTCTGTCTTTCGTTATTATTTTCATCTCTTAAAATAATTTCTGATGTCCCTTCCACCTTAAATGTAAAATGTTTACATTTAAGGTGGAATGTTATAGTGACCCTTATCTCAGAAAAGTTATCTAGGCACAGAATATTCATGAGAAACCATCTATGACAGTACATGTCATACTGCACATCGAAAGTACATATTCCGAATGGGAAAAAAAAGATATTCAGAAAATTATGATGAAATAGTATATATGTAAGGATAGAACCACGTGACCCAGTTAAAAAGCAAACAAACAGTTGTGAGCCTTGAAGCACACACAACTCATCAGTTTTCATTGCTGCTGCTTCAGGGACTCAATAAACTTCTTTATTTGTCCTCAAGACTGCAAAACCAAGCTAACCAGGTGAAAATGGTTATTTTATGAAGATTCTTACATGTACAATGGGTGGCCTACTTTGGGCTTGATGGGCCATTCTGTCATGCAACCCTGCTCCTCTTCCACCCAGCCAAACTATCTGAGAGTGACTTCAAGATAGGTAGAGAAACCAAGGAGGGGAAATGGGGACTTATTACAGCAACAGTAATGAAATTCAGTTCTCTTTCAAGCTGAGCTCAACTTGCAGAGGCAATATTGCACATAGACCACCTTCTTGGCACAATACAGAAGTCTTTTAACACTGCGTCTTCTGGGGTGTTTACATTCAACTTCCCAGTCTAGCCTAGAGCTCTGGAATTTCTTGATCGTCTCCTATCTAAGTAGAATCTATATTTAGAATGGTTTGTACAGTCCACCTTCCTTTCCTTAAGTTCTCAGACCAAAGAGTTATATTATAACTTGCCCTCATGTACAAGATTTTATACGACTTCCACCACCACCCTTCTTGTTGGAGCGGCGAAGGGGAATTTCTATATTTTTGCACAGGGTATATCCTGTATATTTATTTCAGTCTTTATGTATACAACTTTTGGAAGGTGTCATTAACTTTTTAGAAAGAATTTTACAATAATTCCTGCCCCAACTTGCTCTCATTTTGTGGAAGGCTATCACTTTTGCTGTAGAGTATCAAATGCTAGTGTATATGTCCTATTTATATTGGAGTTGGGCAGCTAATAAATTTAAAATAATAGCAATAACAACAACAGCCAAGCATGACCAGGCAAATTCTGCCAAATTCTGCTATCTGTGGAGACTAAGAAAAGGTAGCTGAGATTCAATCAACATATACTGTAATAGGAAAAGCACAAAACCAGATCCAGCCCAAAATGTGCTTCTTGATGCAAAATATGGTCCCTCTACTTCATTAATTCTACTGGCCACAGAATAGCATCCTTCACTTCACCAGGGAACTGTAGATTGATTTAGAGCTTATGAGGCAGATTTGTGGCACAAACAGCTCTGGCCTCCACCTCTTCATGGGCAATGCCTATTATGTGTTAGTTATCTTGTTTCAGGTGACATGTATTTTTATTTCATAGATTGTAATATTTTAGATTTATACTTGCACAGTTAATTAATATATCATTATAGTAGCTGATGTTATGCAGTACTTTTATTATAGAGAGTCCTTGTTACATTGGTATTTTATCTCACCCATTTGATTTTGTTTTTATGTTGTATATTTTTACATGTCGTTGGTCGTTGACTGAATAAATATTACTATTACTACTTCATGGACAATACCATTGCCTCTCATCTGTGGGCTAAGTCTGCTGTTGGGCTCACCACAAGCCCATCTCTGCATGAAGAACTCTTAAAAGTTCATCAGGATGAAAGAAACTCCAAAACGGGGTGGGGATGGACATAAACCTAGCAAAACAAGTGAAAAGTTTACCCCAAGGAGTGGAGAAGTAATTGCTAAAGATTAATAGACTAAAATAAAGAATTCTCATAGAAGTGTCTTGCTTAGATAAATTGTACTTCACCGCTTTTTAAAACTTCTAGACAATATGACATAGTCTATCTTCAATTGTGAAAAAAATTGACATGGGTTCTTAATAAAATTAAGGACATTCACAAGAGAAGGTGAAAAGGCCAACCCTTCTAACAGCCCAGAAGAAACCGTTCCTGGTGGGTCTGTATTAGAGCAAGTGCTGTTTCTTTAAAAGGCTGGCCTGGACAGGGAGATGTCCAGTTTGATGGGGCAACTGAGTTTTTCAAAATAGTACATCTTTAGGCACACAAAGCAATTTCCGCACACCATCTACGGTGTACTAGTGGATGAAATAAACCTGTGTACAAATTAACAATGTCTATTGATTTTAAAAACCCTCCCAATTCCAGCCGGTGAGCCAACTGCAGCCTTTCCTGGAGAAAGGAATTCTTGCCTAGAGTTACACACGGCTTGAAGTTACTCCTTGTTAGACCAGCATATCATGCTCTGCAACAAAAGTGATCGACCTTCCATAAACTTAGGGCAGGTAGGACCAGGAAACTTTCTTTCTTTCTTTCTTTCTTTCTTTCTTTCTTTCTTTCTTTCTTTCTTTCTTTCTTTCTTTCTTTCTTTCTTTCTTTCTTTCTTTCTTTCTCTCTCTCTCTTTCTCTCTCTCTCTCTCTCTCTCT